CAGGATGAGAGCACATAAAAGCCCAATTATCAGATTTAGTTCCTTAAATCTGGATGCTCTACTTTGGAAATGTTTATTGCTTGATTGCCCTTTTTAGTAAGGTCTTTCTAGCGGAAACAAGTGAGATCAGTAGACTTCAGGATGAAAATGTGACTGTAGTGCCTGGCCCTTCTGTGATGTCTGTCCTGCATAGTACTGCATGCCTCTAGTGAGTCCTCCAAACAAAGAGAATCGGGGATAATTGGCAACATGTCAAGGCTATTGAAAAGGGTAAAAGATGTTATTGTCTCCCTATCTGATTTGCATGCAGATCTACCTCCACTGTGTTCATCTGGAGCTTTGTGTTTTTTGGAGGAAGTATTATGTGGGTCTCTCAGGAGGAGTGACAGAGGTCTTGTCCAGCCTGTGAAATCAAACATGCTGTATAGATCCTCAGTGAGGTGGAAGACGAACCTGGCAAATCCATGCTCAGAGCCAGAGCATCACAGAGACCCCAGGGGTCAGACCTGGATGCTGTGTAGACCAGCTGGCTGGTGACTGTGCTGTGCTGGCACAGCCAGAGTCTGTCTGGGTCCAGCTGAGCTGATGTGTGGCCATCACAGGGCTCTGTGCTGCTGTCTCTTGCCCTTGCCTACAAAGGGTAGCTTTGCTTCATCACACTGCTGGCAGCAACGTGCCTGCCCACATTAGGATGCTGCTTTCTGGCCAGCCTTGAGCTCTAGGCTTTCTCCTCCAGAAAAGAGGCTGGATAATCTAATCTAAATAAGTCCCTGTCTTGTTGTTTCAGCTAAAGCTTGTCCTATTGTTAGTGTCCTGCATACTTTGCAGTGCTACCTGAAAACCACAGTGTGGATCTGCACCTTTATGTTGTGAGTTGCTTGAACAACAGAAGTTCTTGTATTTCAGGTTCAGTCAGATAAGTGTTATCTTAAAAACAGAAAGGCAGAGAGATGCATAAATACATCAATGAAACACCAGTTTGCTGCTTTGCTCTTTGCTCCCACATAATGAGTAGGGACACTGTGAAGGCAGCATTTGTGTTCTTTGCTTGGTAGAAAGGTCCTCTTAACACACAGTAGAGTCTCTTCCAGGACATTAAATAATGGCCCTGATACCTGAGTATCCCACATGCCTGGTTGAGATGTGTGCAAAATTGAGTGAACGTGTTGGATTCTGGTAAGCAAAAGTTGCCCTAAGTGAGACTGGCCAATCCCTTCCTGTGCCAGACATCTCTAATTATGGGCAGTGGTTAAATTGGGAATGGACATTAACAGTTTTGTTTGTTTGTTTGTTTCTTTTTAAGGTTTCCATTCTACTATGAACTCAAAATAGCTTTTGTAGCTTGGCTGCTGTCTCCATACACAAAAGGCTCCAGCCTCCTGTACAGGAAATTTGTTCATCCAACACTGTCTTCAAAAGAAAAGGTAATCACAGGTGTCCATGTCCTCTGTGGGTGGAGCAGATCTAGGTGTGTTTACTCCAATCTTTGTATCACTCATTTTCATTGAAGGACGGGGAGTTGCTGATTCTCTTCTTCTGTCATCTGATCATCTCTTTTTGTAGATGTTTCTGTTCTCTGTGGTTGTTTTGTTCAGCACACTCACACATATTAACTCATATTTGTGTACTTGAGAGGTTGGGAGAGAGTGAGATAAAAATACCTCCTGAGCTGCTTTGCACCTACTGGCTGAATATAGGTGGAGTGCTATGTTGTGGCTGGTTGTAATGATTAGAGAAACAAGGTCTGGCAGTGAGGGCTCTTTAACTTATTTCCCAGCTCTGCCTAAAACGTTGTGCAGCAATGAAACAAATAGCCAAGCTTGTCTGGAAGGAGCTTAGGAAGCACTTGCCTGGCTGGGACATGTGTAATATGCTGAAGTAAGGCATGTAGCATGTTGAGGTCCTGGGCTGAGAAATGCCCTGCTCAAATTCATGATGTTCATTGCAGGGGGAGAGCACAACAGCTTGGATCATTTGTCTGCCTAGGAGGCATGGCTGTGAATGGGACATTGTCAGGCAGATCCATATGGGCCAAGAACAGCTATCAGTCACACATCAACATGCAAACTACTAAGAAGAAACTACTAACTGTTTCCCACAGTAGCAGCTGTGGAAGTGAAAGCTCTCTGTTTAGTCAGAGGCAGTGCATGAACAGTTGTATCTCAGTCCTGTCCAAGAAGGACAGTGGGGACCAGTTCCCTGTCTCTCTGCTTCTTGGGAACTTCTGCTTGCACTTCTCACAAGTAGTGCTTGTGCATTTTGGGTTGCCACCTCTTATCTACTAGGAATAGGGAGAGAATCACTGAACAGCCAGCAGCTTCTTGCAGCCTCCAGTCCCTACTAACCCAGCATATCCAGTAGCTGAGCGCTGGATGTCATTGTCATCCATTATCATCCAGCCCTTGTGTCTGGAGGGAGGGTCAAGGTAGGAACTTTCATAACCAACTCACTGTATATTGAGCAGCATTGATGTCCAGAAGCTCTGGACTTGACCAGTTTCCAGGGAATGTTGACATGCAGAGATACCTCAGATACTTCTGAAACCTGCCCAGTGTCATAATATGCTTTTTAACTCTGGGAAAATCCAGTTTTCTCTTAGAGCCATAGATTGCAAATGTCTCCTGACACATCTTGGTCCATTCTGCCCAGGTGGATGTGTCTGGCTTGCTTCCAGAACCTATTGGTGGTGATTGCACTGTGGAACTACATCCCAGCTTTGGGTCCCATTCTTCTATTTGTGGAGTAAAGAGTTCCCAGAATCTGCAGTGGGAGTTACTGCTCCCCTGCAAACCTTTCCTCTTTGCAAACGTTGGCTGTGAGCTTCTCTCCAGCCAGGGTGGAGGAAACAGAGGATTCCAGCCTCCATAAAAGACGACCTGACCCTGCCAAGAGTTTGAGGCTGGGAATCACCCTCAACTTGTCTTTCTTGTGCTCTTTTTGTTTGTTTGGGTGTGTGCTGTGACAGGAGATCGATGACTGCCTTGTCCAGGCCAAAGACAGGAGCTACGATGCCCTGGTGCACTTTGGGAAGCGGGGGCTGAACGTCGCGGCCACAGCAGCTGTCATGGCAGCTTCAAAGGTAAAGGTGCGGGTCGGGATAGTAACTCATTAGCATCTCATCTGCATCCATTGCCAACAGCGGCCACCGTGTGGAGGGGGAAAGGTGGTGGGGGTAGGGATTCTCTCACTGATTTTATTCATGCCTCCCAATCTCCCATTCACCAGCCACACAGGTGCTTCTTGGGATGGAGACAGTAATTGTGGTGCTTAGTGGACCTATAGGAGGTTGGAAATGCAGGATTCAGATGAGGGGCTGCCTCAGGCCTCTGAATTTTACATTTTCCATCAGTGACAGTGTTAGCAGTGCTGTTCATCACAGCCTGTGCTTTTCATTGTCACATGCTTCCATGAAAGGTGCTGATGTTAGGTGAACACAGTTAACACCTTGGCAGGGAAATTATTTTTTTTTGGTCAGTACCTTCTGCAGTGAAGGGAAAGGCCATCTGCACCCCACTTTGTTAGCTGTTATGCTGAATTGTTGAGAAGTCTGGAGGAACTAATGACCTGTAATTTGGACATTGACAGAAAACAGGTGTGATCTGAAGTTCATGAAGACTAAATGTTAGTCTGCAAGGCTCACACTAAACACACCTGGTGTGTAATTCTCTGGAATCACAGAATCTTAGGGATTGGAAGTGACATCAAAAGATCATCTAGTCCAACTCCCCTGCCAGAGCAGGGTCACCTAGAGCACATCACACAGGAACGTGTCCAGGTGGGTTTTGAACGTCTCCAGTGAAGGACACTCCACTCTGGGCAGCCTGTCCCAGTGCTCTGTCACTCTCACAGTAAAGAAGTTTTTTCTGATGTTTATGTGGAACCTCCTATGTTCCAGTTTGCACCCATTGCCCCTTTCCTAAACATGGAGACATATTTATGTAAGAGTGAGTGGGAAGGGGCATTAGTTGCTTTTGGAGAACAAATAAATGTTGGATGAGTGGTCTCATCTGAGGAGATATAACCTCTATTCTATTCTTGGCTTAGAGCCAGGACCATAAAATAGCCCTTACCTCTGCTCTTTGCTTGCATGAAAGCTGCAAGGACTTGATAACTGCCTCTTGTGGTCCTGCTGTCTGGCCATGGGTTATCATGGCTTAGGGTAGATGTCCACAATAATCCCTTGTGTTTGGGGGCAAGACTTGTGTAAGATACAGCTTTCTTGCAAAAGAGTAGAAATGTATGGGCAAGGTGGGTACTGCTGTGCTGGGAATGAGAATTGAAGGAAATAATTTTCCTCTCTCAGATGCTTTTCATATGACCTCAGGCATATAATTTTATTATGTCTTGTCCTTAGCTTCTGTAAAAATGTGTAATACTTCCTTAGGAGGCCAAATACCTTGAAGTTTATAAAGCATGTTGAATGCAAGCTATTTTAGAAGTGGGGGGCCTCTGAGATGTGCCATGCACATGTAGGATCATGAGGATATGCAAAAGCTTTATCCTGTTCCAAAGAAAAGCCAAAAATTGCTTCCCTTGTCCCTGCCAAACATTGTGCAGACTGTGACTCTCAGGCCTGACACAGTTTCCCTGAACTGTTGCTCTTCGGTGAGAAGGCTCTGCTAACCCAGGGGCTGTTGGCTAATCCAATCCTGGACTGAAACCTGGGATAAACGTGAAGCTAAGGCAAAGCTGTGTGTTATCTGCCCAATGAAACAACATTTGTGTGTTGCCTTCATGGCCCTTAACAATTTGCTGCTGGCATGTAAGCCTGAAGAAGTTACACCATGAACATAAATAGGCTCTGGGAATGCCTGTTTTACAGCACTGCCTTTGCTATGAGCCCCTTCCTACAAGCTCTCTGTGGTAGAGCTGTTTTTAGAACAGAGTGAGAAACTATGTCTGAATCCCAAAGAAACTCCTGAGTCCTGTTTAGGTAGGTCCTGCAGTAGTTCAGTAGTAGCTGTGATTCACAGTGCAAACTTGTTCATCTCAGGCCAACATTAGCTCTTCAACCTGAATCAACAGTCAGAACCACAGTTTTTCTTCCCACTGTTCTGTTTTTCTGGTGTTTCTTTCTTAAAACTGCCTTGAAGTGTAGCTCCAGTGCCAGTGGGAAGATGGGTAGAAGGGAGAAGAGTCCCCAGGGTACAAGGAAGTAATTGTTTTGCATGAGTTAATGAAGCTTCCCATTCAGTGCTGAAAGAAGGAAACTGTGGCTTGTGTGGTATTACATGGCACATCTGCCAGCCTAACTTGAGAGAAAACAGTTAAGATACTGCAATCTGTAGGGTGCACCTGTGTCTTTCCCACAGCCTCTATTTTGGGGAGCTGGGAAATGATCTGTTGATAAGATTGAGAGGTTGTTATTAGATTGATTGACTGATTATTATAACAAAGCAAGGGCTGTTCACTTCTTTGCTTCAACCTTGATGTTTAAATTACTCTAAATATGTGATGAAAAATAGGACTCCTGGCTTCCTTCACCACTGTGACTTGTGGCCTCCAGCAAGTTGCTTGCTTCTGTGTGCTTCAAGGTGCAGATCCAGGAGACAGAGTGAGCCAATCTGGCAGCTCTTCTTTTCCAAAATGTGGTAATGCTCCTGCTTCTAATGAGTTACTGTGCACCAGATCTTTGGACTTCCTCAGGTTGTCTCTAATCTAGCAGGAAGTTCATCCAGAAAGAGAAAGAAAGGGAATACTGCTTTTTCAGCCCACAAAGGGAAAAGACAGAACTGCATTGTGAAGAATGTGGCCAGAGAAAGCAGGATCATCCCTTCCTGGTGGTGGGAAGCAGACAGGTTAGCTCTGCTGCTTATGGGACCACACCCTTAACACATTTGCACTCTTCATGGTGTGACAGTCAGGAATGGTTGAAACAGTGTCTACCTGTGCCCTTCTCAGACTGCATTTGTTGTCTTTTGGGCAGGGAGAGTAGAATGGCTGTGATTTACAGCATGTTGTGTTGCAGTGCAGAAGTGCTGGCCTGGCATCCTCAGGTGTTCAGGGTGTGAAGTGTGATGGGTCAGGTGTGGACGTGTCTCCATTTAGTTGTCCCTGCTGCTGTGGAGTGAGCATTTCCAAGAGAGGAGCGATCCAAGCAGGAACGGATGGTAACAGCTCCTGGGGCCGTGGTTTTCAGCTGCTGTTAAATGTACGTCAACGCCCTTACTTGCTCACTTGAGAAGGAGGTATAACAGAGATAGATTATCCTGCATGAGAGAAGTTCAAATGACTAATTATCTGGAAAACACTTCGAGCTGACAGATGCCAGACAAGGTTGCAGTGCTGTCCTTAGGGGGAAGTTTCCAGGGAGGCAGGAAAGAGTACACTATTTCTAAGGCTTATCCTGTTTTTCCCAATGCCAAGGTTTAAAGGGTATCCAGCTAGCTCGTGTTAAGTGTAGATGGGAAAGTGAGCCCTGAACAGCTTAACTGGATTTCAGCCTTTAACACATCATATTCAAACTGGATCCTATACAGATGACCATTTATTTAGAGGCACTGAGCTCCTACAGCTCCCATGGAAAACATGGCTTTTACCAGCAAGTGAATGTGAGGCCTCTTCACTTGGGCGAAGAAAAGATGGTTTCGTATTAATAAATGGACCCTCAGACTTTGCAAGTCATCGTTTTCTGGTGTCAAATACACAGTGAGATGCTGGGCTGAAAGTGTGTTAGTACAGACCCGTTTTCAGTAAATTAGCTTAAATATTAAGACTCCTTGAATACATGTCTCTCACTGTGCATTGCCCTGTCCTCTCCTTTCTCTCTGAGCGGTGGTAAATTATATTCTTGTGCTTCACAGGATCCCTCATGATCTTTTGTCTTTCCTGGTAAGAAAGGCCTCATCTCTTCCTTCTTTTTATCCATCCCTCAGCACAATGTGGCTGTCTCTGTGCTTACCCCATGCGTGTGACAGGCTGCTACTTACATACTTACCACAGGCTGAGATGCTTCACAGCCAGGCACCTTCCTTATCTCTGATCCCCTGGCCCTTTCCCCTTTCTATTTAAATAGCCTACAGTTTTAGTTAGCCAAGTGCAGGCTTTCCCCATCCTTCTTCTCTGTTTTATTTTGAAGCCACAGTTGTGCTAACACTGGCACAAACCTGTGCCAAGTCATTTTGCGGGCTGAGGAGCTGTCAGTGTCCCAAGTACCCTGGGTCTGCCCAGCTGGCTTACTTGGGTGTTTACTCTCCCTCCAGAGAGTCTATTTTTGATGCTCTCTATGCAGACACAGCATTGGACATTTGGTCTTACTACCCCTGCTAGGTACTCAACACAGATCTTTTCCCTGCCCCCACAGCAGCTTGTGTCTCCACCAAAATGCATAATCTCATTTGTGGCTCTGTAATCCTGTCCTCATTGCTTGGTCATTCTGTCACACACTGTGAATTCAACTGGGTCAGCCCTAAGTGGCAGGATTAGATGACTGGACAGTAAATCCTGCTGCTCTTTGTATGTTTTCAATTATTTTCAAATATTTCAGCCATTCCTG